GACTCCCAGTACCAAAAAAAACCCAACCAAAACACCCCCAAACAGTGAAAGCTGCTGCTGAGTGCCATCTGATGGAAAGGCAGACTCATTAAAGTGTTACTTGGTGTGTTCTCATCACTTGTACCCCAGACCTGGCAGCGTGGAACTTTTAGTTCTTCCCCAAAGTCAAAATGACCATGAAAGGTAAATGTTTTAAATCAATTCAGGACGCAGAGGCAGCCAAGACGGCGAAACTAAAGACACTCACAGAAGAGAACTTCCAGATCTGCTTCAGAAAGCGGCAAAAATAAGAACAATGAGATATGTGGGTGTGAAGTGAGGGCAGTATTTGTGGGGGGTTAATGGCAATGTAGCTTTTACTATATTTTTTACTACTAATAAATTTAAAAATTTTAAATGCTCCCCATATTCTGTACTTTTCTGCATCCAGTCAAACTACAGCCTTGCCGTCTTTTCTGTGTTTTGTGCCCAATTCATTGTTCAGGAAGCCAAGGACCTGGGGAGAAGCCTCGGGATCCCTCCTTGGTGTCTGTGTAAGAGCCAGTGAGGCCTCGGGCAGCCTGTCTTCGGGTCTCCAGCCTCTGCCTTACAGCCAGATGTGTGTGACACCACCAAGTGTGTGTGTCTGTGTGTGACTCCAGCAAGGCTGAGGGCTGGCTTTGGTGGGGATCCAGACAGAGCTCTCCACTGTGGCAGAGAGGAGCAGGAGGGCATGGAAGGGCACAGGAGGACAGTGATCCCCTTTAATACTCCACTATGTCCATTCAGAGGTGCTGAGGGAATAGGGTTTAAAAAGCAGAAAGCACATGGGCAGATAATAAAGCAAGAAGTTACATAGGGCTGTGAAGAGCAAGTCAGCGGTCGGCCTAGGGTGAAAGGAGCTGTCACCCGGGGCAGGAATGAGCTGTCCGGGACAGCACTGGAGTGCGCATAGTTGGACAGGGGTCCAGAAGTGAAAGGAAGTCCCCAGGTGGCACAGAGGGACCCGTGGAGCCCGAGTCCAGGCTTCTTTCTAGGCATCACTGTGCAGCTCACAGCACCCCATCGCCAGCTCAGGTGCCCGTGGGCCGGGACCCCCGCCAGGACTGGGGCTTTAGCTGGTGAGAAGCAGCATCTGGGCTCCTCCGGCCCTGGTCCCTTTGGTTCTAGGGGAGGAAGGCAAGGAATCAGAAAGCTCGTCTGACACACACTGGACCAGAAGGAAGGGCTGCTTTCATTTGAACTTCCTTGGAGGATCAAGGAAATCTGTAAGAGGCTGGAGGAGGTCTTGATACTGAACTTACAGCTCAGCTGGATTAGGACTGTGGGCAGACACCAGCAGGACTGCTGACCTCATGGGGCTTTGTGAGCAGGGGTCAGGAATTTAGACTTTGAGCTGAGAGGAAGGAGGGGCCATGAAGCTTTAATAGCCAGCAGTGACACAGTAACGCATTTAAAAGCCACCCTTTGCCATTACCTTGAGAGAGGACAGATGGATGGCAGGACGCAGGGAGGCTAGGCATGAGCTATTACACTCTGAGCAGTGGCTGGGGCTGCAGAGGGAAGTGGGCTGGCTAGGAATTAGGGATAAATGCAGTCATGTCTGCTAAGTGCTCTCCCTGCTTCCACCCTTGCTCCTTACTGTCTCTGCTTGTGCAGTACCCAGAGTAATACTGGTTAAAACATGCCGCTTCTCTGATTTTAAGCCAAAGTCCTTACCAAGGCTCTTCCTCGGATGCAGTTCCCCAGGATAGCCACAAGGGTGCGCCACCTAGGCCTCAGGTCTGGGCAGTGAGATCTGTCCAGATTCCTTATGCGAAGCAACTCCGTGCCCTCTGTTGTAATATACTCTATTTCCTCGGTAGCGTTGATTATATTGGAAACGTCTTCCTAGTGTGTAGCACAAAGCTGGACACACAGTACATTCTCAGTAAACATTGAATTGAATGAGAGTCAAGACTGAGGATGCAGGAGGGAGACAGTTGCTCTCAAGGACTTCCTTCCCCTTGAGGGTTTAGGCAGGAGGCTTGCAGAAACCTGCAGCAGGAGGTGTGGAAGCAGGTGGCAGGAGGTGAGGTATGTGTGTGCACAAGAATGAGTGTGCAAGAGTGGGTTCTGGACCCAGGGCCCTGCCTCTCCCGGATCTGGCCTGGGGACTTGGCCGGACAGAGGAAGATTTCAGCAAGGGTCTGACCAAGGGGAGAAGAGGTTGTGACACAGGCCCTGGCAGGCATGGGAGGAGTCGGGCAAAGGAGCCGTGGGTGGGAACTCCTGACGGCGCAGGGCCGTGGTGGGGGTGGGGCGTTGCTCCGGGGGTGGAGACAGTGAGCTGGGCCTTGAAGAGTAAGCACAAGTTCGCAGGATGAAGATGGAAGGGCCTTTGATTTTGAGAGACGGGCTGAGGGCTATGTGTGGCAGAAGGCTCAGAGAATGGTGACTCGTGTGATGTCACGGAGGAAGAGAGACAAAGCATTCTGCAGCCTGCACCCAGAAGGCTTTAAAGGCTAGGCCCTCTCTGGGGGGCGTGGATTGGAAAGGAGGGTGTTCACCCTCCTTAGAAATGTGTAGGCGGCAAAACTATAGGCCCAGTGATCACAGGATGGGGTGACAGGGTGAGCAGGGGAGAGACTAATGTCCAGGTGCCTGGTTCCGGGGCCCCTGAGGTAAGGGTCTGGGGTGGGAGTAAGTCTGGAGACAACCGGAAAAATTGGTTCTAGGCTAGGTGGGCTGGAGGCACTGAGATAGGGACCTGGACCTAGCTCCCCTTCTTGGAGAGGGCCTCTGGTGACCCCCTCTCGACTAGGGCCCTGGGCCTCCGAGACCTTGTCCCAAGGGACCCTGTGCATCTTTTTGTGGCCCACCACCACTTGGACCTGGTTAGGGTCCCTGGGCAGGAGGTGGGCGGGGCACTGGGTAGAGACCTGGGCCTGGATGCTGGTACCTTCTGGCCTCAGCCCACCCAGATGTCAGGCTGGGGCTGCTCTAGTGCCTGCAACTTGCCCGTGAGGCTCAGAATGGGCAGCGAGTGCCTGTGGGGAGTAACGCAGCTCCTGCGTGATTCCCACTCACCCCTGGGACCGACAGCTTCCACAGCTGCCAGTCAGGCCAAGGACTGCTACTGGACCAAGTCTTCCAGGCCAAGTCTTCTGGGGAAGCAGGGTGAGGAGACAAAGGTGGGTCCTTCCATGGTCTCACCCTACTCAGGGAATTCGAGTCTTACTGTGTGTGTGGAGGAGAACAGGCACCAGAGCCCCACGGATCATGAAAGAAGAGGGTGACAAGGGCAAGGGAGGACAGGCCACCCACAAGACACAGCCAAAAACCCAAAGGACCCCAGCCTGCTCTCCTGGCCTCACCTCTCTGGAGGGACCTGTCCACTGCCCTGAGGTGGAAAGAGCCCTAGGATAAATCTATGAGAAGAAAATGAAAATAAAAAATCACAATACACGCGCAACACCTGAATAAATGCAGCAAAAGTACAGGTTGAAGATTCTTGCCAGCTTCCTCCCTAGATTCAGAGGAAACCCTAGTTGGTTCAGAGAGGTTTGTTTTTCCACAGCCTGACATACAAGTCTAAGCTAACACCTGGAAACGCACAGGAATGACACATTTGTAAATGACAAACAAGGGTGATTGGCTATTAAACTCTAACATGCAAGTAGCTAAAACAGTGGGATGTGGTTGTAAGAACAGCGACACAGGTCAGATGCATAAAACCCTTACACGAGTGTAAAAAGCTCCTACCAATCATCAATATATTAAATAAACCTTGGAAAAACGAGAGAAAGCTCAGGATAATCTGCACAGGAACTACTCAGAGAAGGAGAGACACATTCTTTCTTTTCCCCCAGCAAGTGCACTCTTAGGTGTTTGCTGAATGATTGAAAGTTCATCACTAGTTATCAGAGAAATGCAAAATTAAAACAATTGCATGCAATGTTTTACCAGATTTTAAAGATTGAAAATGTCCGGACATTGGCAGGAGTGTGAGGAAACAGGTACTGGTGCACTGTCTGACAGAGAATGTGAACTGATGACAGCCTTTTGTGGTTTGTGACAGCACAAAGTTGAAAACAAACATACTCTCAGGCTCACTAAATAAATGGGGGCCCAGAGCAAGCAGAGAGTAGATCCCCCAGACCCACAGCTATGAACACCCAGGCAGCAACTCTATTACTGTTTATATATGTGTACAGTGGACCCTTGACTTACAAACTTGATTGGTTCCCGAGGGCTGGCTGTACCTTGGTGGTTTTAACTCAATACAGCTGAGATCTGGATGTTTATCTGGGTACACGCTACAGATAACAAGAGGCAGATGAATCTTCCATTAACCCACTTAATTCAAGTTGTTCATGTTAGGCCGGCTGTAACTTGAGGGCCTACTGTATTTTCTAAAAATGTGAGTCTGTATCAGTACATGCAGGCGAGGTATGAAAGGCAGCTCCAACATGTGAGAACACTGAGGTCTCCCTCAGGCAGGAGGGAGGGGAACTGTCCTTCAATTTTGGAAATAAAACGGAGCATCTGGGGAAACCAGCTGCCCTAGGCAAGAATTCTTTCAAAAACCTTCCTGCTCTCTCACGCTGGAAAAATCAAGCACGCCCTCTACTGGGAGGATAGAGAAGGGCAAAACAAGGGTTCAGAGAAGGCAGTGGGCGTGGCCATTGCGTGGCGCACGGTGATAGCTCCAGCCCTGGGGGGGGCAGCTGCCTGGAGGCTGCTAGGGGCCGCCCTGCCCGCAGTCCTGAGGGGGACCACACAGGGCCTTCGGTGTCCGTGCTCACCTTTGTAGTTTCTCACTATGTAGCGCTCCTGCTGTTGCATCTCTTTCCAACATCTCCGCTGACTGCACCGTGTCAGACCTTCGTTTTAACACGGCTGTTCCTTGAGGGCAGGCTGATGCCTGTCCTGTTCCCCACAGTGCCTAGGACACCCGGCACCTGAGCTGGTCTTACAGCACCTGAGCACCACGGCCTATACTGGATGGTGGTGGGCCAAGACACTGACCGGAAAGAGGCTGAGCAAAGCGCTTTATTAGAGGCAACGGGAAATGTATTTACAGGCACACGGGCATTGCATGAACAGGGCAGGGGCAGGCGGTCGGGCTCAGACCAGTTCCACCTTGGCATTGGGGTACACGGCCACCACATCGTAGCCCTCGGGCGGCTTGACGCGAGCCTTGGCATGGCTCTCGCAGTAGAGCCGCTCATCCAGGAAGAAGTAGCCACGTTGCTTGAGGTTCAGGCCACAGTCGCTGCACATGAAGCACTCTGGATGGTAGAGCTTGTCCCGGGCCTTGACAATCGTGCCCCTGACGGGGGTACCCGGAGGACAGAGTCAGATGACCCTCAGGCCCCCGCGTGCCCCCCTCAGGGGCCCTGGAACACAGGTGTGGGGGGTACTCACACGATCCCATGGCCACAGCGCGTGCACTCCGGCAGTCCCTGCAGGCCGCCCAGTGGAGTGCCCAGCTTGCTGGCTGTCGGCTTGGGGTTCCGAGGGCTGCCAGACCCGGGCCGCTCTCCTGAAACTGGAAGCACAGGTGGGAGGAGCCTGGTGAGTAGGTCAGGCCTTCATTTCTGCAGGCTGTTGTTTCTGGGTCCATTCGCAAGGAGAATGGGGACGGTTTGGCCAGTGAAGAGGCAAGGGGCAGGGAGGGGCAGAGGGCTGGCAGGTCAGGGGTGCACTTGGGAGCGGGGAGTCTTACCGCCCTCGCCCGCCTCTAGCATGCCCTGCAAGTAGCGGAAGGAGCCTGACTGCTTGGGCTCCACAGCCGCTGGCTCTCCAGGCTCCCTGAGCATCCTGTATACCTCCGAGCCCAGGTCCACTCTGCAATCGCGGTTGCGTGGGAGGCTTCTGGCTGGATCAGCGCTGGGCAAGAAAAGATGTGGAGGAGAGAGAGGCTGCCATCGCGGCTTCCACTCTGCCAACTCGGAGGGCGGCGAGGCTTTGTGTGTCAGAATGCAGCCAGTTCGGACAAGGGTCAAGAGTCAAGGGTCAGGATGGGACCTGGTGAGATCGGAGGACTGAGGAATCAGGACTGGATAGGGTGTGGCTTCAAAGGCCAAGACTGTGTACTACCTGGCAGGTGGAGACACGTGCAGGGCGCTTATCTGGGCTGGCAGGGAGGCCTCACTGCTGCCGTTCTGAGGGCCTGGAAGACGAGGTGACTGCCCATATGGGGATCCCAGGCTTGGCCTCATGTCTTCGGGCCCAGTGGTGGTGGCTGAGGGCCGCCTGCTGCTCACGGGGCTGCCATCCTGTGAGAGTGAGGACTAAGGCAACGGGAGAGTCCACGGCCTTCCCTCACGCACTCCACCTCCACCCTGCTATCCCAGGGTGCAGGCACACATGCACACCCACAGCCTGAACAGGGACCAGCATACCCTCACATGTGTGTGTAAAGACACACACACGAGGAAGGCCAACACAAGCTCGGTAACCAGCCACCGACGTACACTAACCACGCATACATGGCTGCACATGCTGGCCCACTGCGGAAGGCCACGGTGACTCCTGCGACTGCAACTGGGCTGGCGGCCAGAGCAGCCCGATTTTAGGGTAAGCTCAAGTTCAGGCCACGGGCCGGTCCCAGCCTCGGCCCGGAGGTGACCTAGGAGCCTCTGTAGTGTAGACAGGAAGCCTGGGTGGGAAGGGAAGGATGCCCATCCTAGCAGCCTCCAGCACTGGGCACAGTGGAGCCCGTGCGGCTCTGCCCTAACTGTCCTGCTTTCTGCAGGGTCAGAGCTTGGGGAAAGGGCAGCCCAGCAGTTGAGTGGAAACCCCCTCACATTCCCCCATCCATCGGACGAAGGGGAGGGTCTTGCTGCCCAGGTGGGCCCCCATCAAGGCAGCAGCCACAGAAGCAAGACTCTGTCCCCGCCAGACCCCAGGGAAGCCCCAGAAACCTGAGCACTCTCACATATGCGTCTGCTGGGCGAGCAGGCAGGCAGGGCTGGCCTCTAATGGGGGCCAGATGGGCTGTGGTCGGTGGGGGTGGGGCTCGGCCTCCCGGAGGAGGAGGCTTCCATGGGAAGGGGGAGCGGGGGCCAGAGACCCTCCCCACCCCACCCAAAGGGGGCGGGAGTCCATGGCGGGGTCATCAGTGCCCCTGCCCCTCCCCGGCCACCCACGCAGCAGCCTCTTAGGTAGGTCTGACCCCTTGGAGCCTCCGTGTTTGTCTGAATCCCCACTCTACCACTTGCTAACTGGGCAAGTCACGTCAGCTTTCTGGGCCTCAGTTCCATCATCTGTGGACCGGGGAATGTGATGGTCGCTGTATCACAGGTCTCTCGTGAGGATGAAATAAGACAGTTACCCACGAGGCCTGGCACACAGCGCATGCCAGTTAGCGAGCCTGCGTTCCCAGATGTCTCCATCTGTGGAGTGGTGCACCTCACCCCACAGCTCCCCAGTTCTCAGTCCCTGCTGCAGATTTGCAGTAGGCTTTGCAGCAGAGGGGGAGCAGGGCCCCCTTCTGGACCCTCGACTCAAATGCATGAGCAGGTGGCACCTGGAAGGACTGGAGAGGACAGGCCAGGAGTGCAGGCCCGCAGGCCCCATCCGACTGGCTTCTACCCCTTCCCGGTTCTCAGACCTTCAAGGCTTTTCTCACCACTGCCCTTCCTCCATCCTGAAGGCCAAGTGCCTCCTGTGTTCTCACGTGAGGCCTTGGGAGGGTCCCCGGTGGGCCTGGCCCTATTTCACCCCCTGGAGATGCATTCCAGGGGTACCTCACACCGGTCGTGCTCCCTGGTTTTCTCCTCCCCTGATGGCTCCAGCGAGCCCCGCCCCCACGGACAGAGGGTAGGAACAGCGCGGGGACAATGGGCCCTGTGTCTGTAGTGAGGACACAGCCCTGCAGGGGTTGGGTAGGGGTGTTTCTGTCACGACCTATGGAGCTGCCCAGTTGTTTATGGAAAATCCATCCCTCTCCAGCCTGAGCCACTAGCAGCCTGGTCTTCAAAGCAAATGATTTAGAAAATCAGGGGGCAGAGGGAGCTGTTCCACAGTCCCCAGCCTGTTGGCCCAGTGGCTCTGAGCCTCCTGGGGAGAAATAAACACAATTGAGCTTCAATATTCTAAAGCCTTCTTCCATCTACCCTGGACCTGCTAACCTGGAGGGAAACCCGGCCTTGCACATAAACGCACATCTGCCCTTTGTGCTCCCTTCTGGCCCTAGTCAAACCGGGTTATTTGTTTAAGCCAAATCTGACGCCCATCCCCAGTCCTTAGGGCCTTGGATCCACGCAGCCACCAGAGAAAGTGTCTGAGGCAAAAAAAAAAAAAAAAAAAAAAAAAA